TTTTTCTGCTCAACTGTTTTACAGCAAATCATTGAAATCCTGGGATTGTTCCATAAACTTATAAAACCTCATTGCTGTTTTTGTTCCCTGAACTCCTACTGCATAATATGGGACTTTCAGATCCCAAACAGACAGACATCTGGCCCACAGAACTCCTGATATCAGTATTGTGAAAAAGAAACAAAGTCTGATTCATTGATATTGCAATACCAAGGGATGCATGAATTGAACCAAACCAATCTGATCTCATTCTTTGATAAAGTGACTAAACTAGTAGACCAGTGAAACGCAGTGGATGTAGTATACCTAGATTTCAGTAAGGCATTTGATAAAGTAGACCTACTCCTTGGTAAGCTAGAAAAAGGCTAGAAAAAGGTGGAATAGACAACATCACCAGATGGATCTGTAGCTGGCTGACAAGCCGTACTCAACGAGTAGTCCTCAATGGCACCACATCCACATGGAGAGAAGTAAGCAGTGGGGTACCACAAGGTTCCGTCTTAGGCCCAGTACTCTTCAATATCCTCATTAATGACTTAGATGAGGGAATTGAAGGGGAACTCATCAAATTGCAGATGACACCAAACTTGCAGGAGTAGCCAACACCCCAGAAGAAAACTGAGGATCCAAAAAGATCTTGACAAAGTTGAACAATGAGCCCTATCCAACAAAATGAGTTTCAATGTGGGGAAAAGCAAAGTTTTACATTTAGGCAGGAAAAATCAAAGGTACAAGTACAGATTAGGTGAGACCTGGCTTAAAAACAATAACTGTGAGAGTTACTGGAGTCCTAGTGGATGATCACTTAACCATGAGCCAGCAGTGTGCAGCAGCAGCCAAAAAAGCTAATACAATCCTGGGTTGTATAAACAGAGGCATAGAATCAAGATCACACGAAGTATTAGTACCGCTTTATAAAACCCTAGTAAAACCACACCTGGAATATTGCAGTCAATTTTGGTCACCATATCACAAAAAAGATGTTGAAAGTTTGGAAAAAATTCAGAGAAGAGCAACTAAGATGGTCAAAGGCTGCAGGACTTGGTTTTGGCTAGTCTAAAGAAAAGAAGAAATAGGGGAGACATGATAGCAGTATTCCAGTACTTGAGGAGCTTCCACAAAGAAGAGGGAGTCACATTATTCACCAAAGCACCAGAGGGCAGGGCAAGAAACAATGGTTGGAAACTGATCAAAGAGAGAAGCAACCTGGAATTAAGGAGAAACTTCCTGACAGTGAGGCAATTAACCAGTGGAACAGCTTGCCTTCAGAAATCGTGGGCGCTCCATCACTGGAGATCTTTAAGAAGAGGCTAGATAGTCACTTGTCTGGGATGGTATAGTTCTCCTGCTTGAGCAGGGGGCTGGACTAGAAGACCTCCAAGGTCCCTTCCAGCTCTATTCTATTCTATTCTATTCTATTCTATTCTATTCTATTCTATTCTATTCTATTGAGAAACAGCTAGAAAAAATAACAAAATAGTGTGATTTGCAACTTGAATTTGAGTGATTGTGAAGGAAGAAATCAATGGTTGTGTCAATAGTAGAAGGAGATCTTGCAGCAGTACCCAAAGGGCTGCCTAGATACATGGAAATTTTGGATTTATTAGTCCTGAATATCCTGAATATTAGACCTGAATTTATTAGACCTGAATATCTTTGCAAAAAAAACCCTACCCTACTTGGAACTGCCTATACTGTATATTCAGATGTTGCCTTATAGCTCTTAGGTCCTTGGTTAGGACTTGAACTGTTAAATTTTTATCAGTCCCAGACTGTGAATTGATTTGAAGATTAACCACCACCACCACCACAATACCTTAGTGCTTGTTTAGTAAGCATTTAATTATTTCCAAAGATGGTACTGCAACAATTCTGCCAATTTCCAAACTATTCCTGTATGTTCTTTCTTGGATCTAAAGGCCACTCTGGGTCAAGTTAGATATTATCTCTGAGATTGATGATTTATTTATTTATTTATTTATTGGATTTTTACCCCGCCCTTCTCCTTGTGGACTCAGGGCGGCTAACAGCCTGATAAAAACAAATACAAAAAATACCAAAATACTATCATTAAAACATAATTAAAAGGAAATATTAGATTGGCCTTTGTTATTTTAAAATTATATTTAAAACCCCGCTAAAAATTACCCCTTAGGCCAGTCCTGCTAGTTGAAATAGCCATGTCTTAAGGGCGCGGCAGAAGGAAGGGAGATCCGGGATCACCCAGATCTCTGGGGGTAGTTCGTTCCAGAGGGTGGGAGCTCCCACCGAGAAGGCCCTCCCCCTGGGGGTCGCCAGCCGGCACTGTCTGGCTGACGGCACCCTGAGGAGACCCACTCTGTGGGAGCGTACCGGCTGATGGGAGGTAATCTGAGGCAGAAGGCGGTCTCGGAGATATCCAGGTCCGATGCCATGGAGCGCTTTGAAGGTGATAATCAACACCTTGAAGCGCACCCGGAAAGCCACCGGCAGCCAGTGCAGCTCGCGCAGTAACGGTGTTACATGGGAGCGACGAGTCCCTCCCAACACCGCCCGCGCAGCTGCATTCTGGACTAACTGGAGCCTCCGAGTGCTCCTCAAGGGGAGCCCCATGTAGAGAGCATTGCAGTAGTCCAGGCGGGAGGTGACAAGGGCATGGGTGACTGTGCGCAAGGCGTCCCGGTCCAGAAAAGGCCGCAACTGGTAGATCAGGCGTACCTGATAAAACGCCCCCCTGGTCACGGCCGCCAACTGGTCTT